GTAAACTACAAATCTTTTATAACTATCGCAGCAAGTATTTCAGACTGAAGTGAGTGATGGAGGAAGGTCATTGGCCAATAAAGAAACTGCTTGGCCCTGTGGGTGGAGTAAACAGAACAAAATGCTGGGAGGAAGAGGAAGTGAGGTCAGAGACACAACAGCTCTCCTCTCAGGAGCAGACGCCTGAGAGAGACGCCATGCCCCGCTCCCAGCATGAAGCTCCGACCCAGGATGGACATAGGCTAGAATCTCCCCGGTAAGTGCACCTTGGGGTGCTACACACAGATGATTAGAAATGGGCTAAATTAATATGCGAGAATTAGCCTAGAAGTGAATGGGCCAAGCAGTGATTAAATGAATACAGTTTCTGTGTAATTATTTCGGGCATAAGCTAGCCGAGCAGGCAGCCGGGGTGCCGGGGACGCAGCCCCGCCGCCCCTATTACTACAAGTGAGAAAAGTCTTAAACAAGTTATCATTTCATTATAAGACTCACAGATTTTTGTTCACATAAATCCAAGCAAAGAGAAGGCAAAACACAAATGGCTTTGCATCACACATAGTAAACGTGTGTGATTCCTTTCAACATAGAGAAAAGTTTTCTGGAACTTCGTCAAGTCTTAAAAATATGCCGTGAAGAAGTAGAGTTAGAAAAAATGAGATTAGGACTTTAACTCACCTCAAATTAACTGCTACTTGAGGTTCCATGAACGTCCACTATTATTTATAACAAATGTCTGACTTCAACATGAGGACAGTGTAACCAATTCTGATTAGACCTGTAAGAATTGTGTTTAATCTGTCACGAAGCCTTAGTACATTTTCAAAACATGCTTTATTCATTATGATTCTTTTGAATCTGGTGCTATTTAAGCATTTAAATGAGTAAGTATGTGAATGAATGCATGCTTAAAAGATGAGAACTGTCTTTCTAAGGTGCAGGCCACGAGGCTGACAGTGGTTTTTAAAATTGAATTCACTCAGTTAAACAATAGCTCCAGATGCACAGCAGACAGTGACGTGTACCTTTGGAGAACCACAACTCGGCCAAGAATGCAGGGCACTGGGGTTATGGTTGTAACTGTCATCAAGCAAGCTTACATCCTGATTTGTAGTTAGCTATTTTACATTCCAATTTTCTTCATCTATGTCTGCAAGGCCTGCTAAGATGTCAGATTTCAGTGATAAATGAAAATATTCTACTTCAGGAAATTTAACAGAGGAAATAAACACAGAAAAAAATTGTACAATAATAGGTAGGAAAGGAAGAGGGCAACCCATACGGAGATAGTGAACGAGGTGTCTTGACCTACTTGAAACTACCTCTTATTTCCCACATTAGGAAAAAAATCATGTACTTTTTAATGTTCCAAACTGTTAACTCTCCATTAAAAAAAAACAATTCTTTCCCAAAGTTAATCACAAATTCTAAAGCCACTGACCTACTTGGGAATCCAAACGATGGGCTACCTTGAGATCCAACAAGCAAATTTCAAGTCTTACTCAGTTTTCCTTGAGCAACAGATCAAATTAAGATAGTTAAGAAAGTCAGGTAAGGGTTACGATCACAAATGTGTATGGGTAACTTTTCTGTGATGTCTATATAATCACCACCTGTGAAAACAGAGCTCTATGGCATCTCAAGCTAAATGCGGTCCTTATCAGCAGACTCCGGTCTAGCAGAATGAAGACTGAAAGTAGACCATTTAGACTGGAAACTTTCCCAAGTGACCTTCATGTTCTGTGAGGAGTTCCAAGAAGACTTGGATTCTAAAATATAGTTGTATTTCATTAACCACCTACTTTCAGGATAAATTTAAGGCAAGTACCAGTGAAAGCTTATGTTCACACGAGCCAGAACACTTCAGAAGACATAGGAAATAAGATTACAGAGAGGGCTGGAGAGATGGCTCAGAGGTTAAGAGCATTGCCTACTCTTCCAAAGGTCCTGAGTTCAATTCCCAGCAACCACATGGTGGCTCACAACCATCTGTAATGGGATCTTGTGCCCTCTTCTGGCCTGCAGGCATACACATAGACAGAATATTGTATACATAATAAATAAATAAATATTTTAAAAAAAACGGGCGATGGTGGTGCACGCCTTTAATCCCAGCAATCGGTAATCCCAGCACTCAGGAGGCAGAGGCAGGCGGATCTCTGTGAGTTCGAGACCAGCCTGGTCTACAGAGCTAGTTCCAGGACAGTCTCCAAAGCCACAGAGAAACCTTGTCTTGAAAAACCAAAAAAAAAAAAAAAAAAAAGATTACAGAGAAATGTTGGGGGATGGGATCTACAAACTAATGATGCCTAGAATGCAAAGCCTTTAAACTCTGCCCAGTTAACAGAGGAAAAAAAAATACTAGTTAAAGGGAACATATCTGTTATTTGGGGGGGGGGGGGTGCAGATATGCACTCAGTTTTTTTGTTCGCTTTTTTCAAAAATCCAAAAATATAAAAAAAACCCAAAAATATATTGAAAATTGGCTATCAGCTTTATGCTTCACAAACATCAGTATACAACCTGTGAAGCAAATGTTATTTATTCAATTTTGAAAAATAAGGTACCAAGTCACAGAGAAGATAAATAACCCCCAAACTTAGAATCGGCAAGTAAAGGGTCAGGAATGTCAGTCCATTTGCATCCAACTGTGTAGTTCACTGACAAATTCAAAAGATGGAAATGCCATCGCTCACTCATCTCTGTCTTCCAACTCAAACCATTCCAACACATACATGACCAGACACACACAGAAACAAAATGGGTTGATGATAGTCAGGGGTAGTTCAAGGAATGTGCCAGAAGCACATGCCAGTTGTACAGGATGAGTACCCTCCTCCATTTGTGTGAAGTACAAGATATTTTGTCAACTATATTTAAAAGGAAAGGTCTAGCTTTTGCTTGGCGTAGTGTTCTATCCATCTATATCCTAGCAGGGTCATTTAAGATTTAGGCTGGGATTCCAAAAGTGGCTTTCAAAGACGCATGGAGAAGCCAGTGAACACTGGTGTTTTTCTCCTATAGACTCTCCAATGAAAATGATTTTTCATTCAGAAACCAGTGGTTTAAACTAAGGTCATCTGCAGCTTGACACAACTTGACAAAGAATTCAAAGCAATAATTTCCATTGTAGGTGATGGAAAAGGGTGGTCATGCATTGGTTCTCTGAAGAAACCTTAACTTATGTAAGGCACCATAAGAGTGAGATAAAAACCCCTAGGCTTCAGAGACAGGACTAGGCAATATGAGACAGGTTATATTAGAGAGGTCTTTAGTCCAAGCAGAACACTGGGAGGGGTCCTCGCAGGTTGATGGAAGCTGAAGTTATAGGTAAGAAGAAGTTAGATGATACATGCCCAGAAACTCATACAAGAGGAAGGCTTGAATTCTACTGGACCCGAAAACTTTCAGGCTGAAAGTGTTGGCAGCGTAAAGCTGAGTAAGCAGAATTGGATAGCTGGCACACTATTTATCAGTAACATAACTAATTCGGTACTTTGAAGATTCTAATCTTAAAAAAAAAAAAACGTGGATGGGTGAAGTGACTTGCACAAGAGTCTAATTGTGGCAAATTTTATAAAAATTTTTAATTTCATAGATTTTCTTCCAAAATATACTTTACTCTCTGTTGATCATTAAAACAATAACAAAAACGTGGCTGCTGTGCTTCACAGGTGTTAAAGATCTTTCCATGGTATGCTGTAGTCAATTCAGCAGCAACATCACATGGTAGCTTCGTAGAAGTCGGATCACTCAAGTTGTTTTATATTTCAGACACTGACAATCATAGCTTGACTCAAATATAATTCAATACAAAGTTTCTTTCTGGACTAAATACACTTGAATTGTCTTATTGCCAATTTATGATCATTTTGGTTATATTAAATTATATGCTAAAGTTGAACCAATAAAAATCAGAGAAAGAAAAGTCTCTAAATGCATTATTACCCTGTAAATTGTTCTGTTCAATGGGTCCATCTGCCCTAAAGTATCCTGTTCATAATTGCGGGGAAAGTCAGTATAAAAACTAAAGTCTGCATGTGATGCCCCAGAGAATAAGATGGAAAGAGTTAAAGAAGAGTGCCCTGACCCATTACATACGGATAACTTTGCAAAAATAGCATGTTATTCCATTCAAACTAAGGGACATTTATCAGAAATTATTGGTTAGTCTGTGCCTTAGGTTTTAAATTAACCAGTGAGTTTTCAAAAGTAGCACCATTTCTATTACTAAAAAATTAAACTTTACTTTCAAAGTACATCAACTGCTCTCCTTTCTTTTATTTTCAGTGTTTCTCCAAACATTTAGTATAAAAATGTGTATCGAGCTGGGCGGTGTTGGCACACGCCTTTAACCCCAACACTCAGGAGACAAAGTTAGGTGGATCTCTGTGAGTTTGAGGCCAGCCTGGTCTACAAGAGCTAGTTCCAGGACAGGCTCCAAAGCTACAGAGAAACCCTGACTCAAAAAAAAATGTCTATAGAAATATGATTATTCCAAATACAGTTGATTAAACATTTCATCGGTTATGACATATGCAAATAGCAAAGCTGCATCAGATTAGATGTACACTCATGGTGACAATTTAAATTGATTTAAAATTCTTTCAAAAAGTTTCTCATCTTTCGATTTTTGACTTTTTGAATATTGACTTTTACCAGTGTTCTTTTGATTGTTGCATTAATCTATGCACAATATGATACTGAATAACCTAAGGCAGGCAAGAAGTAATGTGAAATGTGTAGGCATAACATTTTAATGAGACAGCACTTGGGTTGAATCGAATGTCTGCAGTTAATTCACAGAACAATATACAGCGAAAACTTCTGACTTGTTTAGCAGACCAAATATTCATTAAGGGAAGCAAACTAGCTGCATTATAAAATCTCCCTCATAAGAATTACTGCATCTTCAGATCTGTGAGCAAGAAATAGACTTGATTTCAAGCTGAAGTGCCTGGTGTTCTGGTAGTATCAAACTCTTTATTTTTTCATTTCAGGTCTTAAAGGGATTCCCAGAATGTTTACAAGCTGACATTTGCCTGCATCTGAACCAGACTTTGCTGCAAAACTGCAAAGCCTTTCGAGGAGCAAGTAAAGGCTGCCTTAGAGCTTTGGCAATGAAGTTCAAAACCACCCACGCGCCTCCAGGAGACACCCTGGTTCACTGTGGGGATGTCCTAACTGCACTGTACTTCTTATCCAGAGGCTCCATAGAAATCCTCAAGGATGACATAGTGGTAGCTATTCTCGGTGAGTATTTTAGCCAGGATCAATGACATCTTCAGCTGTGAGTTGTTGCAAACATTAGTTTGCAATGACAGACTAACAGACCGATTGGTTAAGGATGACAACACCGATCGTTTCAGAGCTTTATTTCAATTCATTGCATGTCAAATTAACCTTGCTAAAATGTATTTTAATGTCTCAATTTTTGTGTAATATGCAAACATTCTCGTGATTCTCTTCAACTGTTGGCAGCTACTTAGACATTTGAAGCTAAATATATAAAAACAGTTGACATTTTCCTTTTCATGTGAGATCTTGGCTTCATGGTTGATCCTTTAGCATCTTAATATGAACTACTCAGTGTTGTAGACATACTAATTAGCATGTGCCTACAGTAATATGAGCTAAATTTATCATTTCGTGAATTTCATTTACCTGCTATTTATTAAACCCTTAGAAAAGAAATTGGGGTCCTGACTTAACAGAGTGAAGCGGTGCATTTAACATTAGGACGTGAGTTGATAGACTACAAAATGAGTGAAACATGGGTTTGAGCGTAAAGGAACACTCATGTTTAGTTCGCTCTGTCTCTTTAAAAATGAACCTGCTTATATGAATTCATAGCATTTCTTTGGACTGTTAGGGTAATGGAGAGATGAACAGAAAAAGCCAACTCTATTCGCCTGCTTTCTGATCATATAGCTGCAGGATCAAAACTCCCTTTCCCCACAGTGTCAATGGAAATTCAGTTTTCTCATAGATTTAATACACTGTTCCATTGATAAGCAGTCATACAGCACTAGAGGCATAAGTGGGAGATAGATTCTTGCCCAGCACAGTCAAGGCCAAAGTTCATCCCCAGTGTCTATCTATCTACTGTTCAATCTATGTCAGTTGAATGGTTTCTTTTCACTCAGTTCTCAGTTTTCACATTTGATCATTATAAACTCATGGGTTTTATCTGTTTGTTGTTAGACAGACCCAAAGCATGGATCGTTAGATGCCCTATACAAACAAAGAAGTTTAAGTGATTCCCTTGGTATTTTGATAATTTCGTTATTATTGTGGTCAAAAAATCCACAGATGGAGAAGGTACACTATTTGGTTTCTAAACCAATAAAGAGTCATGGAATAAAAGCATCATAAGTCACCTCAAGGCCACTTATCAAAAGAAAGTTTTCACTGAATTTGACATTGACAGCTTTCCTTGGTGTCTTACCAAGGAAAGCAGAGGCTGATCTTTATGCCTGCCTGTCCTGGCATCTGTGTGCAAAACAACTTGCTTCTGTGCTTAGACTACTGTGAGTATAGAATGCTGTTCAGCATCATGGGGCTTCCTTCTTGCTCATCTATATTCACAGAAGATAATTAAAATATAAACCCCATGCAAATACAGTTCAGAGTCATAAAATAATTATCTAAACAAAGCCATCCAATCTAAAGACTTGCAAAAGCTTCTCCTTTGCTGTCCCAATTTCCATGTATGTTAGCATTTGAAAAATTATTGCTATTCATTATGGTTCTCAAAGTCTAATAAGTATTTATTTAAACTATGCCTAATGACTTCTCTCTAATTATAAGTATATGGTATTTGACTTTTCCTTATTAAATTCTCATTTAAAATAATGTCCCAGCACTTTTCACTTGTTGGAACTTTATTGTTTAAACATCCTTGATAGCTCCCTAAATTGGAAGACACATGTAGTAATCCACCAGAAGCAAACATAAATGCATACTTTTTGCGTATCCGTAATCTGAAAAGAACCTTTAGAAATGTGAAGAAAGTGCTATGTTGCATTGCTACTAATGACCTTCAAAAGTGACTTCATCAAGTAGTCTACCAATATTGACTAAAGGTATATACCATGTGAGTACCTTGATACTCAGAAACAGAAAAATGGCCGTGAAATTTTGAGAACTATTGAAAGGTTTGATATCCTGGGCAGGTAAGGATATTGACTATGGTGTCAAAATGCATGGGTTTTAATCCTGGCTACTTTTCCTTCCTCCATTTCACCCAACTGAGAAATGAACCTTACGATATTCAGTTTACCTCTTTAATTTTGTTTCAGTATTTATAGATTTTTATAATAATCACATCTTCACAAAATTATTTTTGAGTATCATATACATACATATGTGTAAGCATACATATATGTAATATACATAAACATTGGACATAAACATGGCACCTACATGGTCGTCAGAAAATATGGATTATTCTTACTCTTGTCATTGAATAAAACTGAAAGTAGACAGCACATGGTTAGGCAGAATCCAATACTGAAATAATCCTAGTAATTGTAGAAGTACAATGGGAACAAATTTTCAGAGCAAAGAGCAAGTGACAAAAGCCCTGACTATGTCTGTGGGTGACATACATAGAAGTCATTATTTAAACAAATGGACAAATACTTTAAAGGCACATTCAAAACTGGTAACTTGAGAAAGCAAGGTGTGTTGATATCACTTGTCCATATCTGTGAGGGCTGAGGAATGATGGAGCTGTTAATTGGCAAAAAGCTCTGGACATGATAGGACTGAACAGAAAGAACAGAAATCCAGCTAGTTTCAGCCTCTCATATTCCTGGACTGGCACCATCAGAACACTTCTACCTGAAAGTATATTTAGAAAACCATATGGCGAGACCCACAGCTAGCACTCAGGAGTGTAACAAAAAAAAGCATCCTCTAAATCTTACACTCTTAGCAAAAGAACCTAAGTAAAGAAATGAAGGAGATTATAATGGTACCCAAGACTTTTAAGAAGAACAAAGTTTCACTCAACATTGCACAATCAGTCAAGACATGGAATGTTGCTCTCCATGCTCTGCAGGTATGGGATCTTACATTTGTAATCTTTGGTTCAATGATTAGGCAGTTGGTTGGTGTCCCTTTCTACTTATAAATAAAACATTAAATCTCTTTCTCTTCCTCCTTTTCTTTCTTCTTCTTTTTTGGTTTATTTTAGGAAAAAATGATATCTTTGGAGAAATGGTTCATCTTTATGCCAAGCCTGGCAAGTCTAATGCAGATGTGAGAGCACTCACATACTGTGACCTGCATAAGATCCAGCGAGAAGACTTACTGGAGGTCTTGGATATGTACCCCGAGTTCTCCGACCACTTTCTGACGAATCTAGAACTGACTTTCAACCTGAGACACGAGAGTGCAAAGGTAAGCCCCACTGATGACCTTCCCATGTCTGAAATGTCATTCATAGATCTGCCAAGTGCTTCTGAAAACAACAAACAAAACACTGCAACAAAAATTTATCAATATTAAATACTGAGAGAAAGAGACCAACTGAATGTTGAAATTAATAAATTATACGGCAAGAATTCAGTATTAAAAGATGGTGAATAATTTTTTTTATTGAGAAAAGGAAAAAAAAAGTTTCCGCCTCCTCCCAGCCTCCCACCCTCTCCCCCTCCTCCCACCCTTCTCCCCCCCCACTCCTCTCCCCCTCCCTCTCCAGTCCAAAGAGCAGTCAGGGTTCCTTGCCCTGTGGAAAGTCCAAGGTCCTCCCCCGCTCCGTCCATATCTAGGAAGGTGAACATCCAAACTGGCTAGGCTCCCACAAAGCCAGAACATGAAGTAGGATCAAAACTCCGTGCCATTGTCCTTGGCTTCTCATCAGCCCTCATTGTTCACCATGTTCAGAGAGTCCGGTTTTATCCCATGCTTTTTCAGTCACAGTCCAGCTGGCCTTGGTGAGCTCCCCATAGATCAGCCCCACTGTCTCAGTGGGTGGGTGCACCCTTCGTGGTCCCGACTTCTTTGCTCATGTTCTCCCTCCTTCTGCTCCTCATTGGGACCTTGGGAGCTCAGTCCAGTGCTCCAGTGTGGGTCTCTGTCTCTATCTCCATCCATCACCAGATGAAGGTTCTATAGTGATATGCAAGATATTCGTCAGTATTGCTAAAGGATAGGGTCATTTCAGGTTCCCTATCCTCAGCTGCCCAAGGAACTAACTGGGGACATCGCCTTGGGCTCCTGGGAGCCACTCTAGGGTCAAGTCTCTTGCCAACTCTAAGGTGGCTCCCTTAACTAAGAATTGTGCTTCCGTGCTCCCCTATCCAACCTTCCTTTATCCCAATCATCCTTTTTCCTCGAGTTCCCCCCCATCCTCCCCTTCTCCCTTTTCTCTCCCCATCTCCCGTTACCCCCATCCCACCCCACCCCCAAAATCCCAACTTTCTCCCTGGCAATTTTGTCTACTTCCCATAGCCAAGAGGATAACTATATGTTTTTCCTTGGGTTCACCTTCTTACTTAGCTTCTTTAGGTTCACCAATTGTAGACTCCATAACCCTTATTTATGGCTAAGTTTGACCTTTTAGAAGTTCTTAGAGTCTTGGTTTACATTAGAGTTTTTGTAGGAAAATGAGTGGTTTCGAGTAATTTTTAAAATCTCCTAAAGGAGTTTATCTTACATAGATAGGGAATGAAATATTATCTCGTCTATTATTCCTACCATATCAGTTGCTATTGATGTTCTGCAATGTTGAAAATATTAGACCTATCAAAGTTTAGATTAATACTAAACTCAACTTTCAAGTTAATGAAGTATGAATTAATTAACTCTTACAATAGAGTCAAAATCTAGGCTATGGAATGAATAAAATATTGTCTAATAGAAATAATATTTTATGTTTAATTCTGCACATTACCCAACCTTTAATGATTTCGCGAGTGGGGCTCTTACTGTGCTCCACTGTGAACTCTGATCGATAAGCTAGTCTTGTCTTGTGGAAGGACAACTTACATCATAGCTCACAATTTGTTACTGGGTTAATTTGCCAAGTTTCAGAAAGTCCATTTATTTCTAAATGCCCTTTTATCATACATCAAACATTGAGCACTTGGTACTTGCCCAGTGTATTTATTTATGAGCTAATGTGTTCTATGGAAGAATTCCCTAGGTCAATATTTAGGCAAAAGATGTGAGACTTAAGTCTCCATGGAGTTGTAGTCATCACCAGGCATTGAGAGGCTTAAGAAACAGCAGTTTCTAGGGTCACCGGGTGGCCATTCAGTGTTCTAATTCAGCTTACTGAGCTAACTTCTTTTCAAACAAAAAAAAAAAAAACTTACAGTAAAAAGTCTCCAGTTCTTAAACATATGTTCTCAGAATAGTCTTACTGAATGCTTTATTGTGACCTCAGTCAGAGAGCATCAACCTAATTCTGGTTTTACCTAAAATGCAACTATGAGCCTCAGGTGACTTCATTGTACTGAAATTCATATGGCAACCAGATGAACAACGCAGGGAATTTCTGCTCTGATTTACAAGGCTGATGGTGTACAGACAATCAAAGAGGAGAAGGAGGAGCTGAAGCAAGTCTAATAAAGGTCTTTTATCATAGTATCGATTGTCTTCAATCATATATTGATTGTAAAATTTAGCCTTACGTTCATTACTAAGTAATATATACATCCTAGTTACTGTTAATTGATTCATAAATTTTGCTAGCAATAATACAGATTCTTCTACTTGTCTAAATTGTTAATATTTTAAATGTTTATCGTATTATACAAAATACTCCCTTCTGTGGACTATTTTATTTCTAAATTCTAATGCCAGATCCTAAAATTCCTAGCCCATAACTCTTACAAACCGTGGTTTCCCCAATCAAATTGCGAAGCTACTAGAATTATTCTATCAATCTGTTTTACAACTCAGAGCTAACCTTCAAGAAAATTACTGTAACTACTTGGCCAAAACATAATTCTTAAGATTTAAAGTGGTTGCTGCGAAGTGATATAGTAGAGTTTACCAGTAAGACATTATACTCAAGTAGCATAACCTTCTAGATCCCTCTTTGAGTTCCATTAACACGGTTGATTTTCCGCTGCAGTCCCAATCCATAAATGATTCTGAAGGGGACACCTGTAAACTACGAAGAAGAAGACTGTCCTTTGAAAGTGAAGGCGAGAAAGGTAATCATTCTTTCTATTTGTCAAGTTTTATCTAGAGCACACGGTGTCTAGCTCTTTTTGCTTAAATACTCATTATAGTTTTGTGATTTTCAAGGTTATATCTAATTCATGCTTTGATAGTGTCGGGAGAATCACTTTTGTTCCCAAACTAAAAACATTGTTTTTGTTCCGGGGTGGCTATGTCTGAATTACATCATTCAGCAAAGCCACTCCATGTCTTCAAGGACAGCCAACAGAGGAACTAGGAAAATTGATTGAAAGCAAAATCAAGTTGATAATAGATAATAAATATACTCAGAGTTTGAAGCAGAGTGTTTTGGGAAGAGGAATTTTCATTTCAGGTCAGGAGTGTAATCCCTTCGCCAGCAAGCACCACACATACCAATTGTGTGGATGAAGGCACAAAATAGAACTCATCTTCATTAGGGAGGGAGGGGGAGCCACTCTCAGTCAGGAACAGAAACAAGTACACTTCAGTAGGACCCCAGATACAGGTGTGCAGAAGTGTGCCTGGCAACGAGACCAAGATGTCACGAAAAACCTCTCACTTTGCCTCCTGCTGATCTCACCAGCTTTCTAGCCTTTTCCTACTTGGCCTCACAGCAGCACCTGACCCTGGATCAATTCTTCCTATTGAATAGTCTTTGCATGGTGTCGGTGGCTCTCCGCTCTTCCTATTTTCCTTCCAACTTCACAAATTCTCCGGAGATAAACTTCATATCATATTCTCATCTGGCTTGTTATTTCTTAGAGTTTCTTTTTGTTGTGTGTGTATTTGTATGTTTGGTATGCATACATGTTCACATGGTATTGGGGTGCATGCGCACATTTGTATACATGTGTATAGAGGCCATAACACTACCTCAGATGTCTTTCCCTCTTCCTTTGAGATGGGATCTCACTGGCTTGGTTCTCACAACTAAGTTACATGTTGGCCTGTGAACTTCCAGAATCTTCTGCCTCCGTGTTTTTTGTAATACATGCACATCTCACAATCTCAAAGTTTTTGTATAGGTTCTAGAGATTAAACTCATGGCTTCATGCTTGTTAGCAAGGACTTTATCAACTGAGCTCTCTCCACAGACTCCAAAGTTTCTTAAGATATCTTCCGCCTCCTTTTCTTTTTATGTAATATAATCTTTCTCTGATTAATATCATCTATGCTTCTAATTTCATTCTGTTTTCATTTGGGAAGTGTACATATTAATATCTTAAACCACAGGCCAGATGAGCTTCCATATTTTGACTCCAACTTTTTATTAAACTACTTAAGCTCTCAAAGGTATCCCCTAATGCTTCCTTGAAATTCCTGTCCCTCTCCATATCTGTTGCTCTGCAAATGTTCACACCCACACCATTCAAATCAGTTCCACAAACATGTAGGATTATAACTTCTCTTGAGCTATGAAGAAACTGTAGCCTTGATTAGACTTTTCTACTGTATTTCCACCATCTCTACTTTCAAACCTAAGTGTCCGTTGGTTCATTTATCTCCATTCCCACAGCCCCTCCACCCGATTGGGTCTAGATATTATCATCTGTCTCCTTAGAATACTAAACCAGCTTTTTAACTAACTCATTTTCCTTGTAAAATTTACTCTATTTTCATCTATTCTACACATTGGGACACTGATGACATTTTTTTTTCTGAATCCAATTACATTCATTTCACCTGTATATTTAAATTCTTCTAAGGACTTCATATTTTGTATACTCATTTGTTGTTACTAACTTTTAAAATTTGTTTTGAGAATTTCAAACATGATTACTTTATTTACATTTCTATTCCTCCCTCTTCCCACCCCAACTCTTCTAATGCCCCTACTCCTTCTCAAATGCATGACTTCTTCTTCATTATTAATACATATAGACATAGAGAAGATATAGATGAGAGATGATAGATATAGATAGATAGATGATACATAACACACACACATGCATACATATATACATACATATACAAACATACACACAACATTGTAGAGAATCTATTGAGTCTCTTTATTATTGAGGACTGACTAAAAGGAATTGGGTAACCTATCAATGACTCTTCCTTAAAGAAAACAGAGTCTCCTGTTCTGTGCATTGGTAATAGAATTGGCTTTTTTTCCTACTTCTTTGAGACTTTTATCTCATACTAACTATTTTAATTCTCCTTAATTATTCCCATGAACTCCTCACCTTTGCCCTGAGGCTCATCTCCTCCAAGCCTTTATTTCAGTTATAGTTATTTAAGACACTACTGCTCGACGTTGTTTACCTGTGAATTGTGAACTTCATAAAAATGGTATATACTTGTTCCCTGTGACTCAGGGGCATGTACAGCATTATCTATTGAAATTACATATGAACCAGGCAGAATTGTACATTTCCATAACCCAAGTACTCCAGAGGCAAGAGGATTGCAGTTTTCAAAACAGATGAAGCCACTGGAAGGAGGAGGAGGAAGAGAAGAGAAGAAACACAAATGAAATGGCATTTGAGTAACCCTTTTCCACCTTCATTTTGTCTTCATATTTCAAGTTCTCTTTTTAACTCTGTTCTCTTGGAGATATCACCTGCTAGCTTGCTATTTGTTTTTAGTGAATTAAATTCTTCTCTCTTTTATGTACATTGTTTCTGTGTTCTTGCATATGTTATTCCTTGAGATAGATTGTCAGACTTTTCCTAAAACATATGAACACCCATAGCTCCAAGGAAACCTTCACATACAACCAGACCAGACTGTTTTTCATTCACTAAACTTGTGGTTTGCGATGTGTTGTTTAACAAGCATTTTCTTGATCACTTTAAATGCACAGGAATTTTCTTATGAATCCCCATATGCATTCCTCTTGCGTTATCGCCAAACTGTGCACTGTGCTCGGGTTACTGGCATAATTGGTTTCTTTTTTATCTCTACAAAACTTTAGGTGCCTTCAAACAAAACACATCTGATAGATGTTGGTTGTCTTTTACCAATAGTTGAATCATTTAACCTACTTCATAACCTGCTCACCAATAGGAAGTATTTTCTGCAATGGCCTTCTTTATTTTCTTGGTAGAGTTTTCTAAAACAGCACCCCTGATGTCAAGCTGTTTTTCCATAGAGTTAATCTGATTCCCTCATCCTGGTGTTAATCTCTTGGTTTTATCTCACCGGAAATGGAGAACAACCTGGCAATGTGTAGCCTGTGTACCATTGTTCTCCAAAGGGTTGAAGATTTATTAAATCCTCTTTCAATCTTGTTCAGTTTCCCCATTCTCAAGGCAAATAATCTCACGTTTTTATCTTCTGATAAGGCCCTGAAATCGGGTCACAATTCACAAGGCTTCGTGTACCCAGACATTTCTATTGATGTTGAAATCATTCCTTTTAATCACAGCCTTAGTTTCTGAGATGTTTTATATAAAGTGCAGATAGCAGGAGATTTGCCTTCCTGTATCATTCTGAAGTTTCCTAGCATGCCAGTATGTTACCATGAGTTCAACAATGTGAAAATACAATTAATTCCCATTATCCAGAGCTTCACAGCCTTTTTTCAAAGCCTTTGGAATTCCAGGCTGCTGCTGGCAAGTGCATAATTCTGCTGAGAGAAATTTAGTACATGTCACCCCAATCTAATACTCTTTAGGTGACCAGTCATCCCATATTTTGTCAGATAAAATTGTCTTCTGTCGGGGAGGGGGGCGCACATAAAACAGGCCAATGTACAGTAGTAGAGAATTTCCAGAGGATTCTCTAATACTGATCAACCCAGGGCTGAATAAACTAGAAGTTTCACAGGGAATGTACTTATGATTACAGTGTTACCTTACTGCTTCTATGAGACAGATCCTTGAAGGTAGTATTCCAAGAGCATTGACGTCTTATGAAATCAATTTACATAGACAACAGGGACAAGAAGAGTCTGTGCATCGGAGATGGGTAAACAGAGGTAAAATCCTGTCTGTTTTCCAAGTGCCTTCTCAACAAGATGTTCACAATTTTTAGGTTTTAGCCCTTAGCAGGTCCACCTCATCATGCACAAACAGCATCTTTAAAAAAAAATGGCCAGGACCTCTGCCAAGCTGATTAAACATAAGGAATTTGTTGATGTAGATAGTCTGTCTTCATGAGCTTCAGATTTCTTCTGAGAAAATGAACCCACTTCCCAACAGGAAGGAATTGTCACAGCAGATCTGAAGGTTGGGGTTAATTCCTCCTTTAACTTCTGGGAGACAGGCACCTAGGATCTCTCATGACTAGGGTCGATCAGCATAGGTAGAGATGTTAGAGCTTCCAAGATGGAAGTAGAATCTACTTTTATTATTTTATATTTTTTATTTTCTTAAAAAAAAAGAAAACAACTATCTTTTTTCATTATACATACCAAACCAAGTTCCCACTCCTCCCCCCTCCCGTTCCCTCCACTTAACCCTCACACCCACACCCCCATCCATTCCACAGAGAGGGTAAGGTCCAAGACCCTCCCTACTATATCTAGGCAGCTGAGCAAGGTATCCATCCAAAGAGAATAGGTTCCAAAAAGCCAGTACCAGCAGTAGGGATAAATCCTGGTGCCACTGCCAGTGGCTGTACAGTCTGGCCCAGCCATGCAACTGTCACCCACATTCAGAGGGACTAGTTTGGACCTATGCATGTACTTTCCCTGTCAGGCTAGAGATGGTGAGCTCTCATTAGCTCAGGTAGATTGTTTCAGTGGGTGTCCCCATCATGGCCTTGACCTCTTTGCTAATATTCTTACTCCTCCCACTCTTCAACTAGAGTTTGGAAGCTCAGTCCAGTGCTCTGATGCAGAACTCTGCCTCTGTTTCCATCTGTTGCTGGATAAAGGTTCTCCTGGTCCTATTCTTGCTACATAAAACAAGAAACAAAATGATGCTTCAGTGATGTATTCTGTTGCCAAGGAAACTGCAATGGGTGGGCAAAATAAACTAATGAAGGAAACAATAAAAAATCACTTCCACTTAAGTGGTCTACAAAGTTGGATTATGCTTACTCTCAAGTCTACTAAAGT